ATCTGTATCTGTATCTGTATCTGTATCTGTATCTGTATCTGTATCTGTATCTGTATCTATATTCATTTTAACGTAAGCCTGCTAGATTTCTTTACCAGGAAATTCTTTTCCTCTTTAGTTACTAGTAACCCTAAAAACGTTAACTGCTCTAATAAATAAGAAGAAGAGATAAGAAGACCGCAGAAATAAGAAGACCCTATATCTCTGAGTTTTCATTGGCAATCTTACCTTACTCCTGTCTACCATAAATTCTTAAATATCATTTGAGCCAGCAAATAAACTTCGTTTTATATACCGACGAGGCATTCTCCTATAAATACATTTTATTTTTTATTCTAAGCTAATAAGCCTCAAGTACCAGCCAAGGTAATTCCTGTGGCGTGGAGGCTCCAGGAATGGGCCGTAACGTATCCAGTTTCGCGTTTTGTAAATGATCTTTTGTACCTTGAGTCTGAGTGTTTGTCTGTCTGGCTGTCCGGTCGTCCGTTGATGGTCCAAACAGCTTTATTACGCTGACGTGCTGAAAAATCAGTGGAACATTACTCAAGGAGTTTATTGGCTAGCCGGGCCCAAGCTGTCAACGGGCCCACAGGCAATGCGCGGCTCACGATGGGGAGCTGACGTACAAACAGGCAAACAAACAGACAAACAGAGATTGTCTGACAATTGCGATGATGTCAGCCGAAAATTTCGTGGCAGCGGCAACAGCAGCAGCAGGTGCCACACACAGCCCGCTCGTCATTCATCAGCTTTGACTTGGCAGAAATTCGGAGCAATTTTATTTATTTGCGCAGCTCTGATTTAAGATCCCTTTTTCAGAGGTTTTTGCTTTTTCATAAGCCATAAAAATGGAAATATCAACAATAAATTGACAGAAATTATAAAAAAAAAACTATGCTGATTTTAAATACTCTATAATATTATATTTATAAATTTAATTGAGTGAATATATGCAGAGATGAAAGAGAAAGTAACAGACGAGAAGAGAGATACAAGATTATATTCAATGTAATTTCTTATAACTATTGGGTCAGATTTATTAGAAGAAAAGTCAGTGTAGATGCATATAAAAGGAATGAAAATGAAAGATAAATGAAAGAACATATTATTTATGCTCAGGATAAGCACCTTCAATCTAACCAATGCATCAGGTGGTAGGCTTGGGTTGGAAACGGATTTTAAATTTACTTTTGTTACAGCCTGAGTAAAATAATATAAAATTCAGAATAATTTCACTCAGACTCACTGTGACCACATTTACTATCTACCTTTTCTATAGTCTTCACTTATATATAATTATTATAGAGTATATATTATATAATTAATATATACTCTAACAAATGAGCAAGATGCTAATGAAACTTGAGGGAGAGAAGCTTCAAGTTGTTTGGCACAAAATCCAAAAATATTTTATTAAATAATAATGTATTTATTTATGCACTTTATAAGCTAAGATGTACTTAAGGTATCCCCTGTTAGAGTATTAAGAGAGAGACACAGATACAGGGAGAGGGAGAGATAGGGAGAGAGAGAGCAGCAACTTTATGCCGGCACCCTTTACAAAGCAAACAATACGGCGGCAGGACAACGTTGTCGTGGGAATCTTTGTGAATAATGATTTGCCACTTGGGAGCGTTTGTAAATTAGATGCCGCGACTTCTCATTGTTGTTGCTGCTGCTGCTGCTATTCGAGTGTCGCAGCTGGCGGCAGCGTAAATATTTAATTTGTGTAGCATTTCAAGCAGAAGCAGAAGCCCCACCGAGTCTCCGCTACTGACCTTTGGCTTTCTTTCCCTCATCATTTTTTTTTTGTCGTCGTCGTCGCGTATTTTCATCATTATTGCAAGTCTGTTGTACTTTTGTTGTATTTGTGCTTTCGCATTTTGGGCCCGCACTTGAGAATAATGAGCCAAGTTAATTGAGGTGACAATTGCGGGGCGATAGAGGCCGGTCGAAGGCAACGGCTGCGCACTCCAGACCGTCTGGTCACTCTCGACCCTCTGGAGTGGCCTCAAGTAATGGGTTTTTGATCATTTTATGTATTTGCTGGCAGGCGCTGTCGCGCGTCTCCTCTTCGCGGCAGACTCTCAGGCTCAAGCAACTGCGAAATGATTTAACGTATTTAAATTGACAGCTCAGATTTGCAAAGGGGTTCGCGCTGTTGGCTTCAGGCCGCATTAAATTATTAAGACGAGGGTTCAGCAGAATCCAGCTAAATTGCGATTGCGCAAGAAATAGCAACAGCTAAATGGCAGATTTTTAGCTTTCAAAAGGGTTCGCCGGCGCATAACCTTTTTAAGGAGTTATTCAACCAAAAAGTAAAAAAATAATTTACTGCATTTTGGTTTTAATGGAATTGAAGTGAGGTGATTTGCGAGACAAGGCTAATAACAGCTGTAAGAAGTAATTATTCTGCAGCATAAAAAGTCGTTACAGACAAATCACTTGAGAGTTGACTACAAAATGAAGACTTCGTGAATAATTTATGTTGAGATTCATCGTATACTTCAACTTTGACTACTTTTTGTCAGCTACTTGTCCGAGCGTTTCGTTTCATTGTTACTTTCAGTCATTCAATTCAATCATAAGTTTTTTCTATCAATATCTTTCTATTCACTTCCTACTATTCATCATATTCTTTAACTTTTTCCTATTTTTCTTTCCTTCTTGAGACTTTATCTTTTACTTATTAATACTGAACTTTCCCTTTTAGTTGCATTTCAAATTGCATTTATCTACTTGTTCTTTAATGTTTCTTCCATTTACTTTCATTGGTATTGGCTTCGTTATTCCTTCGATTTTTTTTTAAATTTATTAGTCTCACAAATTCAAAGCACTTCAAGAACAGTGTTCAAATCAGCTTAAAATCTCCCACAACCCATTTTGCCCTAACGAGCAACTATTTAATATTTGATTTAGTCAAATTTATGCCCAATCCCAAAGGGTTTCAGGGCATGTCGGCCTCTGTCTCACAGTTGGCTAACTAGCGCTTAAGTAGTTGCTTGGCCGGCGCACGGGTCGTATGATTAACATAAAAGCGCGTCAGCTCCTCAACTTTACACACTCCTTACACACACACACACACACACGCATAACTGAAACTTGAAATTTATGCGAATAACTTTCTAAAGACGGTCACACACATACACACACACACACGCACATGCAACTTGGGTTGGTTCTGAATCGCCATTAAAAATGTAGAAACCGGAGCTACTCTGGGCTTGACTTACCTGTCCGCCTTTTTGACACCCGACCACATGGCCGCCGAGACGGGCGGCATGAAACGTAAATTTCCGACGGGCGGCGAGGCGTAGGGTATGCCGCGATACGCCTCAACCGGATCCAAATGCCGCCCATCTAATTGGACAATTACGCCCGAGATGGCGCCATTGCGTGTGTGGATGATGCGCGATGAGAGCTGTGCGGGTAATTGATCATGATTTATGTTGTTGTTATTGTTGATGCTGCCTGTTAGTCGACTGCTTCGGCTTGCCGATGATGAACTACTACTACTGCTGCTACCGCTGCCGCTGCTGCTGCTGCTGCTGCTGCTGCTGCTAGTGCTGGTGCTGCTGCTGCTAGTCGAGGTGGCGTACGATGACGCAGCCGAGGATGATGAAGTGAGCGATAATGAGGGCACAGCGCTGGCAGTGGCCGCATTAGCTGTGGATCCGATGCTGCTGCTCGCAACGCTGCTGGAGCCAATCAGTACGAGGCCGCCGCTGCCTCCAGCTGGCATGCTGCGATTGGCCGAGTTGTTGTTGCTGTTGCTGTTGGTGCTGTAGCTAATGCCAGCGCCGCTGCTGCTGCGACACGCAATGCCCAGCAGCAGCAGCAGCAGGAACAACAGCAGCTGAGGCTCAGCTCCTAATGGTTTTCTTCGCGCTCTCGCCACTGTTCTTGTTGTTGTTGCTGTAGTTGTTGTTGTTGAGCTTGCTGTAGTTGCTGCTGCTGCTGGCGGCAGTTGTCGCTTCAAGAGCAGCAACATTTTCATTATTAATATTGGTCAAAATGGCGTTGTTGCAATGTTGCTGCTGTCGTTAAAGTAGTTGCTGCTGTCTGTTGCTGTAATTGACCGCAGCAACAACTGTTTGTGGCGTGTCCTTAATTCTTTGTTTGTTTTAATCTTGTTTGTTTTTCTTTTTTTGAAGGGTTTTTTTGTGTAAATTTTCCTCTTTTTCTAGTTTTTGTGTTTGGCAGCTGAAGCGAACTGTAAAGTGAAAAAAAAAAATATAATTAATATATCGAGCTGTATATCTATGTTTACAATTTTTTTTTGTAGGGCAAAGAAGCTTAACAGATTTATTAACAGGACATATATGTTTTTGCAGTTGACAAGTCTCTGATCTAAAATTAAAAATATTTTTGTTCCTAATTAATAACATTTAAAATTTAATTCATATTATATAGAATTATTAAATTTTTAAAATCATTTTATTAGAAAGAATCATCGCAGACCCCATAAAGTATATTTATTCTTGATCAGGACGACGAGCTGAGTCGATTTAGCCCTGTCCGTCTGTCTGTC